ATATGTGCGTGTAAGGCTTGAGGGGATTACAATACAGGATTTTCTGGTTGTATATAATACCCCCCAGGGATCACCATTCTTCCCTATCCTGTATACCCTTACCTTATTGAGCTTCTCAATCAAGATAGAGCACAGCGCTTCGGATATACTAACAATATAGCTATATATTACACATCTAAGGATCTATCCACGAATACATATATGCTCCGCCAAACCATTCAATGTATCCTACAATAAGGAAATCAGAATAAAATCTTTTCACTCCAAAAAAGTTTGAGCTACTTCATATATCAAGGAAATATGAAATTACAAACCCGGCTATAAGAATAAATCGGAATCTAATCATCATGCCAACCCTTTTAAGATTTATTAATAGAATATAACCAACTTTACACTAGCTTAACATCTTTTTGATTAACGCCTAACATTCCTACAGTATATCAAAACATATACTGCAAAAGCTATATGTGTTGTATCCCACATCCGATCAATAGCTCATACAGCCTACAGACTATCTGCAGCCTACTTGCAAAAAGCGATTATTACCTATATACTCCCTGTTGTCCTCTTCGGTTTCGAAATATAGTTCGATGGGCTATACAAACAATGCCCAAATATAGATTATATTCTGATCAATATCGGAATCAAGAAACACATCAACCTAGTTAGCAAGACAATTCATAGTATGGTACAGAAAGCTTTACCCATCTACAAAACAACTTCAACAACTACACTCCTTATAAAAGCTGATCTCTCAGTTAGAATTGTTATACTAAAGCAAGCCAAACTGAGGTTCGCGTTTCGGCTTCAAACAATGGATACACAATATCTACTTGTAAACCAATTGAAGCTGTATATCAGGAAGAGAGAATAAGGCACAGGTACTCTGAAAGATCCTAATACAAAACTGCAAAGAATAGAACGAACAATCCCTACTACCAAGCACCTCAAACTCTTATAGCCTCACTTCTCTTTCGAGTACCACACCGATTCAATGAATAATATGGACAAAAAGAATGCTATAAAAGTATTTAAGGAATGGTAAAACTTAATTCCCTAAAAAAACTACTCTATATTTTCAGATAGGTTTGAACAATACAATAAACACAATTACCACATAGAATACGGCTTTACAATCTACCGCGGCAAGCAACAGATCAATAGCAGCTACAACCGTATACACGAACAATCATATATTTTTGACACTAAGGCAATCAGCATGTGGCAAGGACTAGAACGTCTCCTGAACATCATTGATCACCCCTACCAGAAACGAATATGGTTATATATTGATAGTACCTTAGTAATCTAAAGAATACAAGGAAGCGCTGCTGTTTTCTCTCAATGGGTATATTATAAATACCATTAAGCAATACAACACTACAATATTATAATCAAATAGTTCCCTGGGCATACTAAGATTGAGGGCAATGAGGCAGCCGATTGCTTCGCTAATTAAGATACAACTAAGCCGCTTAACCCTAACCTATCCTGCCTCCCCATAGTCAGCAGCTCCCACTCTATCCTACATACCAAATGTCGGTACTCCGAGAGTAGATGGTGGAAGGAAAAAAGGGGTCTGATTTCCGAAACGTACAATACATGGAAACCGATATATAATACCTCGAAGCCGGAAAGCCTCAAGCTCCCTCGCAGAATACTATACAGATTCATAGCGATACGGACCGAATATAGTGACTTTGTAGCCTATTATATCAAATTCAATTACAAAAATAGTATGAACATTTGTATATACGGGATTGAGAAAAGCCCACTGCATTTCTTTCAATATTCAATCAATAATCAGATACGCGGCGACTAGCTGCTTGCATCAAATCGACTTCGATCCAAATGGAATACAATAGCATATATCAACCACATCCTGCGAATACAATATAGCTTTACTAACCTTCTCACTAGATCCAGATTCTATACTAGGATATACTCAAACTACACGAAACTATGCGAATTTCAATCTGCTCTAATACCTTGAGGATGAGCTCTCTATCCTAATCAATCTAAGATCTATACCAAACAACTATAAGCGCTCTGAGTGCTTTCCCGATCGATAGCAATCGACCTGATTATCCGCCGACACCCGGATGGTATACAAAACAAGGCCCTCTGAAACAGGACTACAAACCCTTAAACAAAACAACCACAGGATCGCTATAAGTGGTACTGAGCGGGGGAATACCAGAGGCAATAAGCTCCTGATTAGTTAACATTATATTACTATGAGTGGCTGGAACGTTAGCGGCCTGTAGGCCCGCTCCTTAGTACATCTAGAATACCCCTTGGGAGGTCAGATATTAGACGTTAATCACTATAAATAAATAAATAAATATATCTATTATTGGAGTGATTGAATCGATATAGATATGATTTGATATATCTATAACCTAATTTCAATTGGAAGAGTACATTAGTAGTATTTCGATTGGTTTTAATTGGTAGCTTAATTTTCGATCCGATTTTCTATAGAAATAGTTTTGAATAGGTTAATACCGATTGATTGGATTTGAGTTTATATTGATTGAGAGTTGAACTCTATTAATCGAGAGAGGATTCTTTGATTATTATTTCTAGCAATCCAAAACTGGTTTCATTCAAGGTGGATTGTATTGTAGTAGCCTCTTTTGCTAGCTTATCTGCTAGCTCGTTCCCTTTAACTGATGTGTGCCCTGGTACCCAATTCAAGGATATTTTAGATCCTTTAGCTATAATGACTTCGGCTGCCTTGATTGCTCGAATTTGGTATGCTTGCCCTGCAGAAATGAATTATATTATAACTACTTTCTAGAATATATTATAATACAAAGTAGGTTCGCTACAACCTACAAACGCTTTCCCGGTTCACTTGTAATAAAGCCACTAGTACTAGGCTTCTATAGAATCTTCTAATTATATTAAACCATTTATTATATGATTATCTTTAGAAATTCCGGTCAGAACCAAAACCATTCCTTTATATCTTCATTTCTGTTTGCTTTTTAAGTTTATTTGATATCTCTATTATACTCTCTACCCTATAGTATTCGATTATAGATCGATATATACATCCATCCTTTCAAGTTATATAGATAGTATCACTATCGCTGTTATTATATATTATGTTTTGTGGCTAATAACTGTTTTGCATTACCTTACCGGATCTCTTTTACACAACAAAACCAACTATATCTTGCAGGTTTGTTATTTCAGATTCTTAGCCAGGCAGCCTTTCTATAGTATTTTTAACCCACTAATTAAAACTCTACTTGTAAAATCCATTCCTTTAATGTATAATTTGTAATCAAAAATAAAGCACTAGGAATGTATTGCATATGTATATCATAAAATTAGTCTTTGTCTGAAATCCTTTGTTACTGTAATATCGATTGAGTATTATCGAATATAGTTTACTAAAAGCATCCTTCCTATACCAAAGCTTTTCCGTTGCTATACCACTCCCGCACACTCGAAAATAAGGTGCTAAAAATGTCCCTCCTTCTACTCCATATATATTCCCGCTAACCCTAATAAACATTATCCTAGCCTTTATATACTTCCTACTACTCCTCTCACTATTTATAAATATCCGATTCAGTATATCTATAGATTGTATATATTATTGAATTATAAAAACTCTGCATGCTAATATTTTAGAGGTATTCTATCGATTTTTGTTCATCAAGTTAAAGATATCAGTCCTATTTCTAATACAGGCTTCAGTCAGACTCAGCTATATTATAAAAGCTTTATTATCTACTATTTCAAGGGCTAATTCCGTTTTGCAAATGCTTTACTGCAATATGCTTTAGCTTTGTTTTCTATATAGATTTGTAAAGGTATAGTTCTGTATTAATCCTGTTCTTATCTCCCTTTCACCATCGAATAGTTTTCATTTCCGTTTTGTTGGTAGTCCTCTGTTCCGAGCATCTTCGCGATCACTTTCTGGTAATCAGCTGCGTGTACCTTCACTCCCAATACAGTCTCCGATTAGTATATAACTACTACCCAGCTCCAGCTAACTCTACTTAGCTCTCCGATCGTACGATCAAAGGTTCGTAGAATACACCACGTACAGGTGAGAGTCATCGTATCCCTTCCAATGGATTTATTATTGGGGGAAAGGATTCGGGAACTTTCCATGGAGGGGTAAAGGGTCAACCTCGGATGACCTCGGATCGGGTGAGGAGAGTTGTATCATAGAGAAACCAGATATAATAGGTTTTGAACCCGGGAAAGGTCGGAAATGAGGGATGAAGGGTTCGAATTTGTGAATTTGAGTCTTAGTTTGTGGGAGTGAATAAATGTGGATGGATGAAGTTGTGAAAGAGGATAGAGGTAGTAACAGGAAATGAAATATTTGTGAAAGAGGGATGATCAAGATAGAAGAGAAAACCTTTGTAAGAATATGATGAAGGGAAGTAATGGGGCTTGGATTGGATATTTAGGTTAGTGTTTGAGTTTCGCTGGTATGAAGTTGAATGAAGTTTTACTTTCTATTGGTGTCTTGAGGTACACAATACTGACTTACCTACTATTTTACAGGGATAGATTAAAATACACAATGTTTGATTTCGTCCAATTTGGAGCACTGTGTGAGACTTTTAATGTATTAGATGCTAGATTCGGCATCTCATAGAGAATTTTGTAGCAAGATGGTTAGAAAACTTGGAATTATAAATGTCACAACATGTTGCGGTTGATCACAAGGCTTCCTTGTATGCTTCCAAAATGTGATTCCACATAAGCTATTCGGAGAATCGCAAAACTTAAATTCTAATCGCAGTATAAGATACCAGGGACAGTCATTGGGGTGTCATACGTCGTATTTCTCATCTGCTACACTCTAGTAATACAGATTGCATTTCTACTATATATTTCGACACATATTTTTAAAGATAGCTTTCAAGTATAGCTCAGCGTTGAGACAATTAGTTTGAGAAAGGTCAAAAGGAGGTATGTCCTAAAGGAAGAATGGGAAATTGATACAACCCAACACTCTCCAAGGTTTACTGGCATGAGAATCCCTCGTTCGCAGTAGCATTTCCAACACCATCGTAAGTTTGCTTAAGCGAATATGGACAGATAGTACGCTTAATAGCCGTGTTTGAAAAAAAGGTAGAATCCATGATATCTGGAACAGTACCGTTCTCAACCCAAGCACGCATGGTATCGAAAGTATCAGCTGGGAAAGCACCAGGTCCGCCAAGGCAGTGAGCGACACCTGGAGCCATGAACACTCTATAGAAATTGTGTACGTTTGGGTTGAGCGCGGTAACGGAATCGTAATAGCTCGTGGTTGAGTTAGGAGGGATAATACCATCAGCCTGTATCATTGTTAGTTGCTTTCTTGTAATGAATATGGGGAATTGATCGTTAAAGGAATAACTGACCAGTCCATGGTAAGTGAGAAGTTTTCCTCTACGGGCACGAAATTGTGAAAGATCCGGGTCGTTGGTGCCTATAATAGAAGACCACTCGTTGACGGAAGAATGGTAAAGCTGATCAAATTCCTGACGCGTTATATTTGAGGTATTGGTGTTGTCGTCCTTGCGAACAAACTTCGCTATCCACGGGAGTAGAAGAGATAGTGGATCTGCTGTACAAAGTTCCGTTGCTTGAACATGTGGTAAGAGCAAGTGATCCTCCGGCAGATAAGTCGTCACTTGATAAAACAGTGCCTATCTTTTGACCAAAAAAAAGAGAACTGTTATCTGACTTTCTAGGACCATCCCACATAGCCTGAGTAAGATAGGCAGCTCCAGGAGATATCGTAAAGTTTTCACCGATTTCAGTGCAGTTTATGGTGGTGCCACTAGAGATGTAGGATCAAAATTGCAGGAATCAGGATCTGCAATAATTCCATCAACAAGGCCATCATTAGCATCACAAGCCTTAATAGCTGCTGCAGTAATTGCTTGCATCTCGCACGTGTGCGGGTAGATGTTTATGGTATTCATTATGACATGAGCCCAAAGATCTCCCACAAATATTCCACTCCAATTAATGGCCGGCGAAGAAGCTGCGATTCCGTCAAAAGCCTCAGGAAACCTCTGAGCAAGCATCATACCTTGACGGCCACCTTGAGAGCAGCCGGTCCAGTACGAGTAGACTGGTGGTGTACCATAGTATTTGTTAGTGATATCCTTCCCAATGATTGCAAGGTCGTTAAGAGATGTTGAGGCATGGTTTTGCAGAAGATTACGATTTGGGTTTCCCGGACTCAAAAGGCCCCAAGTCGCGCTATCACTAGTTCCCAGGCCAGCATCGGTAGACAAAGATACGTAGTCCTCACCCATTGCTGCTGGCATACCCGCCAAAGCTACGTAGTTGAGGCCAGCCTGCCAGCCGTTGCCTCAAATGGTTTACATTCGACCGTTCCATTCTGTAGATGGCAAGTAGACTTGTACATTGACTGTATCATTAAGACCGGGATGAGTGTAAGCTATAGAGACGTTGCAAAAGCTGGCTGCTTGAATGTCGACAGCTCCATGATTCATATATAGACCCATCGAGATGGTGCGAGTGTAATTAGTGACTTGGTTAGCCTGGAAAAATAGGATCTCGGCTCCAAAGAGGCTTGGTACAGGAAGAGATGAACATGCTAGCGCGGCGGACGGATTGAATGACATGTTAGAATAAATGAGATTCGTGTTGCTTTCTATGAATGAAGGCATTGGATGTAGATGTTTCTGGAAAAGATCGAGCAAGAGAACAGTTATATACATTTTGGAACATACTATCCCATGTAAATTCCAGTCGTGACGTATGGAAACACATGTAGGGGCAGGATGATCAACAGATTATATCCCTTAGCCTGAGGGAATATTGTAGTAAAAGACGAACCGCTATCAAATACGAGTATTCGCCAAAACCTAGTAATCGCAAATTAGCGGGTCTACATCGGGTAGAATATTACTGAATACGCGTATTTCAACTACCGATGTAGCACTGCTACGCCTTTTGATATTAGGATTCTCTGACCTCAATAGTTGTTGGAAAAACTTTATAAGGTGTAGGAAGCAATTTAATTAGGAACGTATAATTCGTTACAAGTAGTATTGTGAGAAGCTATCAAAATCGGAGGCGAATGTGAACTCATTTTGATGACTAAGGCGGTCAGCTATTTTAGCGCGCCTTCTGGTGTATAGGTAGTATACACACGCAGTATAGTAGTAGTAAATTCATAATCGATTCGGTCTATATAGCTATACTAAGACCATGTGATGTGCCTGTTCTGTATCTAATTGAATAAAGTAGATAGGAAAAAGAATAAAAACCCACCCCCCCCCGAACTTCCTTATTAAGATCCTCAGGCAACTTCTTAAGCAATCCTTTTCAAGTTCTTCGAATCGCCTATATTATAAACCTATCTTATCAAAGAAACCTTCCATCCATAAATCCTTCAATATACCTATAAAAACCCTGCACTTTCTATTCTATTATAATAATCCCCCTCTTTCTATCCAACTCTTTCCAAAATATCATAAAAACTATAATTAATTACAATATCGTATCCCTCTCAAAAATTTATCTTCACCCTCTAATTCTTCAAATCCTTTTCGAAGAATCACTACTCTATTATAGCCCCTTAATCCATTACATATAAAACCTATATTCACCTTTTCTCAATATATATCAATAATATATAATTTCCTTTTAATATCTATTATCTCCTATTTCCTTTTATATTACCGAATCCCTAATAACAAAGAAACAATAAGCTCTATTCTAACTATATAAAGAACCAAAGCTATATTATAGATTTAAAGTGATTAAATAAGATCGGAATAATAGATATAATAATATCAGAATATTATTGTTTTTAATAATATACATTCTATATTAAAAGGTCACTACTCTTTTAGCTATAATTAATAATATATCATCTGTCATATAAGGTGATATCGAAATCGGTATTTTCGCAATAATATCGTATACTAATAATAAAATACCGTATACCTAAACCAACATATTATTGTAAAATGAAAAATCTAGTATTTATCTTTATCCATATAGAATAATCATAAGCATATCAATAGAATATCAAATACTAAATTGGTATATCTCTTATAAGATATTTCTTGAAAAAAGCAAAGCCTTTTAAAAAGTTTTCACCTTTTATTTTCCTATACCCAAAAACCTTCTTCTTTATAATTGAGACCCCCTCGTAAGGCCCCCAAATACTAAAAAACTCAAATCATCACAAGAATCCATAATTTAATCTCTTTCATTAATCATATTCAATATAATTATGTCTATCATTAATAATACCAATATTGATAATATCAATATAAATATAAATATACTGAACCCCCCTCTCTAACACTAACAACAATATCTCCCCTGTGACGAGTCACATTATCTAGTATATAGACTCTCTTCTTTAAGATCTTTTCGATCTTAAATTATTCCTTTTGGGGTTGTATGGCTTAGTGATAAAGAAGAGAGCTTTAGGTCCGTTACATTATTTAAGATCCACTTGGTTCGAAATTTAGTTCGATTTAATTATTAAAGGTTATACTAGTATAAGCATATTTTCCGTACAAAGATGCCTGAGTCTGAAACCTTTTCTAGGTTGAATAAGGTTGTACTAATGTAAGTATATTTTCTGCAAAAGTATCTAAGTCTGAAACCTTATTCGATATTAGGGCTAAATCGTGTTAGGGTAAATACATTCACTCCACAAGTATTTGAAACCTAATTGTAATTGATCAACTGAATATAGAGCTTCAAAGAACCTAGTTTTCTGAGAATATTTCTATCAATTATATACTAGCTGTATATTAGAATATCGAGGAGCTAGAGCAAATCCGTATATGTTCTTATGGGTAACTATTACTAATCGATCGGGGGATCGATCCTTGACGAGGGGGTGATGTGACGAGTCACATTATCTAGTATATAGACTCTCTTCTTTAAGATCTTTTCGATCTTAAATTATCCCTTTTGGGGTTGTATAGCCTAGTAGTAAAGAAGAGAGCTTTAGGTCCGTCACATCCCCAACCCGAATTGATATCGACTCAGCAATTACAGAAAAAGATAGAAAGTGATATTCTGCTTCAAACACAATAAAGATTAATAGGTTTTTCCAAGAAAATCTTTCCTTGGTTTTTTCGTGTTTTTTTTCACACGCAGTATATATGAGGGTTTAAGGTTATAAATTCATTCTGCCTAACTCTTTTAATCATTTTGGTCTCGCAAAATATCACTTGTATTATTAAATACGCAGACTCATTTTTATATCTCGTAGGGGTACATTTGTAATACATAGAAATTTCGGAAAGGGTTGATAGTTAATTTCTGCGTATCGACGGCTCCCAAGAAGGCTCAGGGGAAAATCATAGGTATGTACAAGAACCTGGAGTCATATTTGAGCTCTGTTGAGAGCCTTTCAGCACTTGTAATAACGATGTATTCATACAATGATTAGATGAGCAAGTAATGTAAAATGCATCAAAATGTGTCCCACTAAAAGCCTTTGAACGAATGATATCACGACGCTGGTTGAAACACTATGGTGAACTCTAGCTGGCGGAAGTAATATAAGAAATCACATAATATAACCTATCACCGACTGAGCTACATTATTGAGTGGGACATTTCATTTCAATTCACACTCTCTACATAATTCTTAACATCTTAATTAGGAAAGCATCTATACCCACGCGAGAATCTTACGAAGGGGCATTGCAAGCTAGATCTTCCATACTCACGAGTCACGAACTCGCTTACCTATAATTCGATGTAGAGTTACCAGCAATTAGCATCAATGCTTCTAAGAACCGCCAATATGACTTCGCAAGCTACATTGTTACCTAAGTCACAAATTCAGATTGAATTTGCTCTCCTGTCTAAGATTTATAAGCCCACTTTAGGTCAGCTCGTATATTCCAAGTCACTCACAGTCACCTCATCAAGGCTGCATGAAGATGCATCGCTAGATCATCACGCAAGAAGAGCAGATAAAACTCCACAAGAAGTAATTTCTTTCCGACTATACATTACTAACGGCATAGGAACAGAGATGGATGAACTGTTTCTAGCTGAATTTTGCTATTTTGTTAGGTCTCTAGGATCTACAACTCCGAAACCCTTTCTCCACCGTCCTCAACTCGACAGAGTTCGAAATTGACTTCATCACGGATCTATTTTCAAGCGTAAATCTCAGAGGGTAAAGTTGACATAGAGAAGCCCGTAGCTGCCACACTATATAGTTTTATCATCAAATTATCGAGAAAATCCTCAGAACTACTAGTCTTTCCCATATCCAACCAAGCCTGGCTTTATCTGCTTTCTGAAACCTGTCGATTGTAGCACAAGACTCACACAATATCAACGGATCTCAAATCAAGAAGGATCAACAGCTTTTGCTCCCCTTCCTGAGAAGATAAAGCTACCAAAATAGCAAAACGTGGCGAAGAGAATGAGTTATCAATGTCACCCACTTCCTATATAGATACTGAAACCAAAGCACTCTAAACTACAGATCTGAGCCTTGAAGCTTTGCTAACTACTCTACTGTAGAGCTTCTCCGTGATGGAAAGCGCAAAAAACACAACATACAACTATGAATAACCTACCTACCTAGCTACATGACTAGCAATCAAAAATGGAGAGATTTTAAGAATGAGACATGAGGAAATGACTCGCATGATATTACATTTGAAGATCAGACTTCATTTATAGGAATCAGTATTCGTCCTGTATAGAGAAAGGGACATGGGAGAGATATCTTGCCTTATCCGTAGATCTTGTAAGTTTCCAGCTTCGTCATGTCCGATGTATCTTGTGAACATAACCACTTTCAATCTTTCAAAACATCCCTAATATAAAAAACAACACAACGGCATCAAAAATTCACAAAAAGATGATCATATCTTCCATAACGTACCAAAACATACCTACCTAATCATTCCATGACACTTTGAAAAGATCTTTATACAAGTAATCTATAGGTTCCCTCCCATCATTTAAAGAACCACACACCATAAATCTCAAACATTCCCATCACATCAATACACCACATCCCCAGCAAACGACTTACCAGAGACCGAGCCTATTCTTCTACAAACCCAAGTATCTTCACCACAAATTCAAACCTCCCTCAAATCCAAATCATCTATTCAACACCACATCTCTATATTATCAAATCCTACAACTACAGATCCAATTCCCAAAATCTCTAGAACCACAAGTCAAGTTATAAATACGTTGCACTCTGCATAACTCATCTCATCTCGTCTCCTCTCATCTCATCTCATCTCCTCTCATCTCCTCTCATCTTAACCTCCAAGTATCACCACACCCCACCACACCACACCAGCCATAAATATTCCCAGGATTACCATGCTAGTTCCAAAAAATTAACAAATTCAAAAATACAGAGACCTCCATAGCAGTAAACATATAATTACAAAGAAATCTAAAACCTTTTCCGCACACCAAATTCCGTTCGAAAAGCACCATTTCCATCCGAAATTACATGCGATTGAACTTTGGAAATCTCAGATACACATACAATTTTCAATGCTAAATTACCAGTTCACCAAATATCCATCAAATCGACTTCATCTAACTCTCTAAACATTAGAATTCAAATCCCAGAAAAAAAGAAAACGAAAACGAAAAT